TTTCCTGTACGCATTTGATGCTGTCATTCTGAGTTATTTTATATCATTTCCAATGATTACATGCTTGTACCATCGTCCAGTCAACACAAGCACAAGGTGTCTCAATTGGCCTGCATTCATTTGTGTCAAGTGAGTTTTGCTCTTCTATTTGTACTTGTTGTGCACTGCAGTTTGATACCTTTTCTTTTGCTATGGCTGGAACTGCCCAGATGCTTTCCAATAACTTGGCATTCGTGTGTCGAAGCAGGACTACCTCAAGTGTGTGAAAATAAACACAGAACACGGCGCCAAAATACATCACAAACAGGGAAATGAGAAGACATTAATGAAATTTTACTTGCTCATAACGCGAGACCTAGGCATGCCTCGAAGCTAGCTTTAAAATCTTCGACTTGTTTATAAGCGTAGAATGTCCGTGTCAAATTTCAGATTACTGGACTGTATGATTCTCAAAATCGCCACTTCACTACAAATATCTTCAACGCACCTTTATGAGCGGCTCAGGAGCAGTAAAAAAATCTGTTTAATATGGGAGTTCACGGATGGGCGATAAATGTTCTAGCAAGTTATAGTTGTCTTTTTCCAACTAATTCTCAGGTTAGGTATGGTGCTGACAAGCCGAATTTTGACGTGTTCCTATGCGAGGCGTATTGGATTTGAAAAAAGTTCCAGTTTTCTACATGAACAGGCTCACAAAAAATACATACTTTCTTTTCAGTGTCTATGCATGAAACCCATACTACGTGAACTATAATTTCAAAACGGAAGGTTAACACATAGATGGGACGCGACCCATAAGTTCCAGTTTCTTAGCTTTTCTGGCTCTTGAATTGAAGTGGGTAACGAAAAGTGCGAACATACAGACAGACGCAAATGTGCGACCTCTTGCCAATATGTGTTTTCGCATCTGCACATACGCAAAAATGCATAACACTGGGGAAATCAGGTTGCAAAAATATATAGTCGCACGGCAAGAAAATCAAACACACATGCATCCCCGACGAAACTTGACATCCAAAGAACCTGGAGGCTGGTGCTAGGGTTTAGATGCAAACCACGAATAACGACTTTACTCTCAAAATTTTCAGCTTCCTAGCTTTCTGAGACTGCTGTATGAGAAAATATCAAAAATTCGAGGCAGCTTTTAGTAATTGACGCTCTCACACTTGCGCAGATGCAATACGCGTGAAAACCGCAAAATAATGTCGTGCCGGAAATGAATAACATAGAAAATTCAGCATACATGTACTGGAGCTATGTATTCGTGTAAAAGTGCCCCATTTATGTGGATGGGATGCGGCCAGTATAGCATCTGGATGTGGATATTATATATACAAGATAGCGAATGAATGTGTATAAGAAAGATAACGTAAACATCTGAATACATGTACTGGAGCTATGTTGTACATGTACTACTGCCCACTTTTTTGTACAGGATAGCAGCGATACACGAAATCTTCTGTACAGGATAGCTGGCGAATGTGAGGTTACCTGTACTTTATATGGATAAAATGTGTACAATATATAGAATCAACTGTATAGGATGCCTCAAAATTATGTATTGTATATGTGAAATTTCTGTATAGGATACCTCCAGGATGTCCCAATTTACTGTATAGCATACTTGACGTATATGCCGAAAAACTGTATAGGATCGGCTCTTTATATGTATTGGTATACTGCAGATCCTGTACGTTATACGAACTAGTTTAACTAGCCAG